AACGCAGTCGTGTAAGACATTTCTGGGAGGCAATTATACAGTACTTTGATGACAGGCTTTGCTCGTGCATTTCCGAATGACCAAAACAACATTTCAGATGCTGTGGAATGAGATCGGTCCGCTGGTTAGTCAGGTTATGCAGTCCCATAGAGCAAAGTCACATGACTTTTTTGATGCGCTTGGAGGAATTTATTCGCAAAATGCATTTCCATCTCCCATTATTCGCATTAATCCTTTTTCGAAGTCAAAAACCACCTCAAGCGAGCATAAAAACTTTTGCGCGAATTAAGGCATTTTTATTCGAAATTCAGCGTTTCCATCTCTCGATTCTGATGCGATACTTCAAAATGCGCATAAAAGCAGGGTGATGGAAACCCAGCTAATGATGTAATCTGCAGAATTTACACTTCAATTATGAGACTACAGTGTTTCCGGAAATTGGATGTCATTTTCATTTAATCTCGCATGTAATGTCTGATAAAGCAGTGCTTTGTGTACAGCCATTACCGGGGAAACTTTGATCTCTGCCAATCCAACAGCGCCTCCTGCTGGCAGAGAATGAGCTTGCATATATATGCCACCTGGGAAACACTGGACTATGGTATAAATAAATTCAACTGTATAACAGTTTCACTGCAATTCATGTTATTATGTTAGAATTAAATAACAATAAAAATAATACATATGCACTTATCTGTACATAGTAAATGCAGTTATTTTTAAGTGGTTGTTGAAATCCTATCTAAAACGTGATTTAGCCAAAAAACAAAACAATAACGTTACCACTCTAAAATGTCTTGCAATATCCGTGCATGCAAAGGTTCTGCGCGATCCTCTTGTTCAATATTCTCTGGGTCTGACTCTGGCTCAAATTGATATGGCAATATTGACGCCATCCTTAACAAAACGGAGCAGACGGAACTTGCTACTTTGGCAAGGGGCGGGGCAGTACTGAAACACCATCTAAGCTGTTCGCCAATCACAACGCACTGGGACAGCTAACTAATCACAACACATTTCGTTTTTCGGAAGGCAGGGCTGCGTTCAGCCCCGGCAAAAACGGTGCAAAACGTTTTTTAAACTGAAACGGTGGTGCGTTGAACACCCTGTTCTGATGACGCAAGAGTTGCAACTATGGCAGCTGAGAAGGCCATTCTTTGAGTTATTTTTGAAGAATTTTTGGAGCCTGATGAAATGAAATTTACCATTATATAATCAGAGTATAGAAAAGTTTATGAAAGTGTCACTCCATAATACAATAGCAAAATATAT